AATGGCTTGAGGAGGATTTAATCCCTCTGAAGCTAGCCATCAAATGCAGCTTCTGATTTTAACCCCCCAACAGTGTTACCACAATTAATATCTGCTCAGGTGCATCTAAGGGTCAGAGCTGTGAACATGTCAGTTCTGCAGTGGTGATCTAGCATTTGTTCTGTATATAAAGCACTGTGCCAATTTCACCTCTCAACCTACCCATATGGAAGAAAAATATATTTGAAATATATTTTAAAAAATATTCTTCCCAAATATATTGACATATATTTGAAATGATACAATTTTGGCCATATTCAATATATTTCAAAATATATTTCAATAAATATATATGTACTGCATGTTGAAATGTGTTTTTTATATATTACAAAATATATGAAAAAAATATTTTTAAAAATATATTTTTTAATAATATATTCTCCAGATTTTTTCTAACATATAAAAAATTCATTTTAACATATATTTTTACATATACTTGTAAATGCATTCCAAAAATGTAGATTTGTATTTTTTTAAAGACATACAGTATATTTTAAAATGTATTTTTACAAATATTTTTCATATATTTTGTAATAAAAATGCATTTCAACGTACAATATATATATATATATATATATATATATACTGTATACAGTATATTGAATATGGCCACAATTGTAGTATTTCAAAATAGGATCAAATAATAAGTATCAATAGCCTAACTACATCTCACCTACCTATATACACCAGTTTTATTTAAAAAGCCCACAAATGAATAAGACCCCGGTTACACCTAATGTGCCTATGGCAGGTTAAAGGGGGTTATCATGTTATTGCTATGAAGAGGATGTTATAATAGCAAGCTTCTGATGACCTGTGAAACTGCAGTGTGATATTTACAGCACGTCTGCACGCTTTCCTTCATAAAATATCTTTACAAATATGTTGTAATGTTACCATTTCCTAAGAAAATTTCTTTGTTTTGACACAATATTATTGCATCATAGTTAGCAGGTTAACAACCTTAATTACCTGGAACACAGAAGCTGTAAGGTCTGTTCTCTAGAAAAGCCATGCCTTGTCACTACTTGTTTCTAATCAAAATACGATTCCTCCTGCGCTCCAGGACCCAGGCCGGTGGTGAGTAGGTGAAATCAAACCCAAACGAAATGACCACCAGAGCATAGAAGGTCGTGCAGCTCCAAAACAAGGCTGGGGAAGCCCGAACAATACTGCAAAGCTTAGTCAGCTCTGAGGAAAGAAGGTACGTCCTTCGAAACGTGTGAGCTGTACTGAGTGTCTACCCCCATGATGGGATTCGCGCTGGCCTCTTGTTTCTGAAGTCCCTTGGAGGACTTACATGCCTGTTTTTATTCGCTGTTTGTGAGTACCATTCCTTTACTAATAAATTTTGGTTACTGAGGTAATGCGCAAGGTTTTGGTGTGCTTCTTGTTTTTTTCACTTTGCACTACTTGTTTGTAAGCAATACGCTTTCAGCAGTCTTTCCCCACACTTATATTAGATATGTGCAATTCATTTAATTACCAATCGAAATGCTGACAATTTTTTGTAATTCGAAGATTCGGATGCATGCTAATTTCCAAATTTATATTACTAATGAATTTCAGTGATTCTGAAATAAATTATAAATAAATTAAATATTCTGAATTTTGAATTTGAAAATGAATTCAAATTTAAAATGGAAACATATTGCAATAAAATATAGTAAGGTATAAAAGTGAAATGCGATGATGATTCCTACTTAGGCTGCTTTATAGAACAAAATAAAATAGAAATAAAACAAATAAAAAAATAATAGACTAAAACAGAATAGAATAGAATGAAAAAAAATAGAATAAAATAGAACAGAATACAAAATAAAAGAATTAGAATAGAATACAAAATAAAAGAATAGAACAGAATACACAAATAAAAGAATAGAATAGAAAACAGAGAGAAAAGATTAGAGTAGAATAGAATAAAATAGAACGAATATTTAGCAGTCTTCTGATTTCAAATAAATTTGCAAAAAAAATGAATTTACAAAGCAAATCTGAATATACAAAACAACGTCAGAAAATTAATCATTCTGACATAACGGATATGATGAAATAAAATTATTAGCTTAACAAACGGATCTGAAAATAAACAAATTTTTCAGTCGCTTTCTCTCTACATGTCATCTACAGTATCTCTTTCATCTGTGTCCTTCACATTCTGTTTGTCTCATGTCTCTCATAATTTTTAAACTTTTTAATTTCACCTAACCCAAAAAAAGACTTATCCAGTAAGGTAGCAAAGTACATCAACCCCATCGAAGCCAGTACATCAACCCATAGTCACCAGTTGGAATTCTTCTCATGATTAATCTAACCATGGCAAAGTGAAATCTCTTTGGCTGATAGTGGTTGCGCAACATAGTGAGTGGGTCTGTGTTCTTTGTTAATTGAATAAGATTAGTAATATTCTTGTTCAGCAGTTTACAATTGTAACCCAAAAACTTACCTTGAGTACATGCCAACAGAATGTGAAGTTTTGTAGCTGGATAAAGCCTACTTTTAAAAAATGTTGAATTTTATGTTTTTTAATAGCAGCCTTTCTTTTGTGACCCCTTATAAATCCTTAACAAGCCATAATGAACTCCTTTATTTCACTTCTATTCATAGCTAGTTACTTTTTGCCAAATTTCCTTTTATGTTGTTCATGAAAATAATTTTACTGTTTTTATTTTATTACTTATCAGCTTTTTTTATGCCTATTAACAGCTTTGCCTTGTGACCAGAAACTCACTGAGTGCCATGAAAAAAAAATGACACAGATTTACAATTTTGGAATCTATTGTAATACTGATCAAACCATTTGGATCAGATTTCAACACTCCCAATGGGATCATAAGACTATAAACCATCTTGGCGGGCAGCCCCAGTGTTTAGCCAGGGGGGCCCTAGATGTGTTGATCCTGATGACTCTGGGATATTTTGGACATGAGGATCCCTTACACTGTATTTATGCTGTGACTTTGCAGGTTGAGTTGCTTTGATACATCTACTGTATATGTCATTTTTCTGTAGAGTTCCTTTTTCTCCCTGAGGAAGAGGAGTTAATTGACTCTGAAACACGTTGGTTGCTACAAGGACTCTGCAAGATGATTGACATGAGGATGATATAACAAAAGAGCAAAATTGTTGTAAAAATTAAGTGTAATTATTCATGTGATGGCGACACAATTACAAACAGCTCTTTCTTACATTACTTCTTTTATATATGGATGTTTTTATGATAGTATTTAAAGTGTTCCACCTAAAAAAAATTTAAAATAAAAGTCAGCAGCTGCAAAAACTGTAGCTGCTGACTTTTAAAATACAGCACTCCACTTACCTGTCCCTTGGTCCAGCAGTGTCTTCACCACCGCTGGTTTCAACCACCGGCCGTCTCCTCTCCCTGGTGCCGGAATCTTCAATGTGGGCACCCGGCTGTGACAGCTTGCGTCTTCACAGCTGGGTGTCCACTGCACTTACATGCAGTGGGCACTGTTGTGCTTTGTGAATGGCCCCCATAGTCTTCTGGGTCCTGTCACGTGTCCCCCAGAAGACTACGGGGAGGGAAGGGGGGGAGGACAACTTCCGTTTCTGATCGCCTAGGCGATCGCAGCAGAAGTGGGAGTGGGTACCTGTCAAATTAGGGTACCATGCTGACCTTCCCCCCCCTCCTCTCCCCAAAGGTGCCAATCCTTAATGGTGAGTGGGGACAAAGGCTTTAAAGCGGAACTTCCCCTTTTGGGTGGAGCTCCACTTTAATAAAGATGTATATGAATTTTTAATTCATTGGTGCCGTTAAAGTCCCATCCTATTGGGGGGGGGATCTTTATTATATTGTAATTAAACATTTCAGGGATGTAGGCCCTTAGCTAAGTACTGGCACATTATATTGATCAAACTGGAGAAAGAACATTTTAATTTTTCTTGCTTTATTTATATTGATTTATATAACATAGATAATAAATTAAAGTGATCCTTAATGATATCCTCATTCTCCCAAAATATTCCACACATCCACAACTTAATTGCCCTGTAATCTATATTTTTCATGAAATTGTTTCTTATTGTGTTTTTCTGCCTTCTTGTAACATCCTCCGAAACTTTGCCATTTGTTTGAACGAGCAATAGAGGCTCTGCAGACTAGCTCTCTGGGACTTCCCCCTGCTCTAGAACTTTGGAGAAAGATCTAGAGGCTGTGGGAGGAGGTGAGGAGTGGCTGGTCTGTACTCTTAGAGGATCCTGTCCAATCCCCAACAGGAAGCTTGTAAAGGGGCCAGGACAGCCTTTAAGAGTATCTGCGCCTGCTCAGCAGCAGGAGAGGTTGGGTGGAAGATGAGGAAGTGAGGCGGAAGAGCAGGAGTCTGGGAGGAGGCCCAGATGAAGAGGGGCTCACCTACAGGCAGGAAGCTTGGAAGGATGAAAGCTTGGGACTTCACTGGCCCCCAGAGAGAGGACCACCTGTGTGGCAGGAAAGGAGTGGCACAGCTAGAAGGCCTGGTAGCAGTTATCGACACACCAGCAACACAGGAGGACTGAGTGAGTGGACCTGCACCCCTTGGGCCAGATAGGGGAAGGAGCAATGGTGGTAAACCAGATTGGGAGCTATCCCGGACTGTCCTCCCTTAACCACCTCCTGCCCGCAATATAGTCCAATGACGGGCGCAAGGTGGTTCTCTCATTCTTTCTTTCTCAACGCGCATGCGCGACTCAGGGAGCGTGCAGCGCGGCGATCGGCGGTGTGCTATGTCCCTCGGACACAGCGAATCACCAATCACGGAAAGAGCCGAAGATGTCGGCTCGGTCATGTGATCAGCTGTGTCCAATCACAGCTGATCACATGTAAACAGAGAAATGCCGGTTATCGGCATTTCTCTCCTCTTGAGCTGTCATAGTGACAGGTTGTGAAAAGAGGAGAGCGGTAATCGGCTTTCCGCGGAGGGGACATGTACACTGATCATCAGAGCACTGATGATCAGTGTGCCTTGATGATCAGTGTAGCCCCAGCAGTGCCACCTGTCAGTGTCCATCAGTGCCTTGTGTCAGTGCTCATCCATGCCACCTGCCAGTGCCCATCAGTGGCACACCAATGCCACATATCAGTGCCTATCAGTGCACATCAATGCCACATATCAGTGCCCATCTGAGCTGCCTTTCAGTGTCACCCATCAGTGCCACCTATCAATGCCAATCAGTGTCACCTATCAGTGCTGCCTATCAGTGCCACCTATCAGTGCCAGTCAGTGCCGCCTATCAGTGCCAGTCAGTGCCGCATATCAGTGCCAGTCAGGGCTGCCTAACAGTGCCAGTCATTGTGGCAAACTTGCTCATCCTTGTTGGAGCGGAGTCCCCCTTTACACTCTGTTTTTCATGTTCTATCTGTTTATCTGAGGCATTTCTCAAATCACGCCTCACATCCCCTCTGCATTCCTGTGAGGCAAACGTTATCTTCTGGCAGATGGTGTGGGGGTCAACCAGGTTAAGACATCCTGCGTCCAGCAGTCATAAAGGTTGTAAAGTGTATTTCTTCCCCCATCTTAATCAAGATAAGAAAACTGCACTGTATGTTTCATATCATGGGGGATGAGTTGTAGTTAGTTTAGAGTTCCCCAATGACTACTCCCAAAACGTGTAGTCAGAGCCCCCTCCCTGCCCCTGAGAGGAACCTTTTAAGAGAGTTAGAGTTTGTGACAGACACACACACTCAGGGATCTCCCAGCAACATCGTAACAGAGGAGATCAAAGAACCTTTCTGCTTTGCATCTTGAATTTGCTAAAACCAGGCAAGGCAAGTAACTTACCCTGTAATTTCCTCGCTATTCTATGTTTGCTGTGTCTTTATATACATATATATATATATTCTTGTGACATCTGTGTAACTATTTATTTTGCATCTGTTTGACCGTTAGAAATAAATCTTTCTTTCTGAAAGTGTTTAAACTGTTTCTAAGCGCTTACTTGCAATTCACGAATCCCTGCCTTTGAAGAGACGCTACTGTGGTTATATTTCTGTATAGTAGGTCTGCGGGCCTTGCTATATAGATCAATATTTCAATCATTATAGTGTATATTTGGTAACGGGAGTTTCCCAGTCTCCGACAAAAGTGGTGGTGGCAGTAGAGGGTTAGTTGAGTAACTAACCCGACCCAGTAACAAGCGCATTCAGACTGCAGGCACCGATTGTAGTCCATTAGCTGGGCAATCGCTGTGTAGGGTGCAGCTGGGTGGGGCCTTGTTACACACGTCACACCGCGGTTTTGGATCGGCCGGCCCTTCGGTCACCAGTTTGGTGAGAAGGTCTGGGGTCTGACGCCGTGGGTGTGACGTATCACTGTTAGTCGCGGCTGTGCGATTGTCGCCTGTTGGTGGCGGCGACCGCGGGTCGTGACAGTCAGTACCACCTATCAGTGCTGCCTATCAGTGCCATATGTCAGTACCATGTATCAGTGCTGCCTTTCAGTCCCCATCAGTGATGTCTGTCAATGCCCATCAGTGCCACCTACCAGTGCCTCCTCATCAGTGCCCATCAGTGCCACCTATCAGTGTCCATCAGTGCAGCCTATCAGTGCCCATCACTACAGCCTCATTAGCGCACATCAGTGAAGGAGAAAAATCATTTATTTACAAAATTTTATAACAAAAACTAAGAAAAAACTTTTTTTTTTTTTCAAAATTTTCAGTGGTTTTTGGTTTGTTTAAAAAAAAATAAAAACCCAGAGGTGATTACATACCACCAAAATAAAGCTCTGTCACAAAAAAATGATAAAAATTTCATATGGGTTAGAACATTGTATGACTGCGCAATTTTCATTCAAAGTGTGACAGTGCTGAAAGCTGGAAATTGGCCTGGGCAGGAAGGGGGTATAAGTGTCTGGTAGGCTAGCGGTTAAACTAGTAAAGTAAGATTTGTAAACAATAAACAAATTAAGGCCATTACTGTCCTTGACAGCTGTAATAAACAATGCACTTTGTCCAGTGACTAGTATCTTTGGAATAGAAACTATGATTTACTTCTGGCATCCCAGAGTAGATATTCTGATAGCATATAATAACTAATTTATGATTTTATGGAAACACCACTTATGCCAAGAAAGCAAAACATTGACCAAAATCTAATCTACTCACATGAGTTACTAACACAAGGAAGTATTGTATATAAGCCTGAAAAATTAAAAATTAGTACAAAATTATTTGCTACATAATTTTTGGTTGTACACAGTGTCGCAAACGTGCGCACCGGGGACTGACGCAGTCTGCCATTTTGTTCAAAGTAGCCATGTTATTCCCTCATTCTTCCCCCCTCCCTCTCACTCTGAGAGGCACAGTGACAAATGTGTGTGTGTGTTAAAAGTGTCACAGGCCAGATCCCAGAAGGGAGCCATGAGGTGCCTCACTGTCCCAAGAACCTGTGCCATTTCCCACCTCGGAAGAGATAAGACAAGCTTTCTCAGGAGTTGAAAAAGATTCTAACCTAATGAACCTAATGCAGTGTAGGTGACAGAATCAGATAACAGTCCTCAAAATCCATTTTTCCCCTATGTCTCATATTTTGGAATATGAGAAACTTACATAAAAACCAGACATACCGTCAGTTTGTCTAGGAGGAGCCGAACAGTTTGATGGGTCACTCGACTCGTCTCGCATACACAGGAAAACAGAAAAATAGATCTCGTGAACCGTTCAGTATAGAATTACATAATTCATATCTAATCAATCCTCAGACTTGTCTGCATAATAATCTACCCGCGGCTGGAATGTCACTTGTGCAGATGGGAAGTTATGGGCCAAAATATGAGTTATGAAAGATTTTGGCTCTAGTTTAGGCCTACGCCCAGACGTTCCCTTCCAAACGGGGTATCGGTCCTTTGACTTCAGCAACAACCCTGCTGGGAACTACAAATTGGGCTGCCAGGCCTAAAATTAGTTAAGTTGAAGAATTCTCCCATTTTTTCCATCGTAACATAGGGAGATCAAAGCACCCTTCTGCTCTGAAACTTGGATCTGGTAACCCAGGACTTTGGCAAGTACTTTAACCCTTTCACCTCTCTCTGATACCTCTTTGCTGTGCTATGGTTCTTTGTATGTATATATATATATCTTAGTTACATCTTTGTTCTGTAAATATTTTTATTGCTCCTGTTTGACCTTTTAGTAATATATCTTTCTTTCTGAAAGTGTTGAACTGTTTCTATAGCTCTGTATTGCAACTCACAAATTTCTGCCTCTAAAGAGACGCTACTGTGGTTGTTTAAACCTCTGTATAACCGGCCTGCGGACCGTTTTATACAGACGATTATCTCAATCATTATAGTATTATAGCTGATAACGCCGAGTTTCCTCTTTCTCTGTATAAAAAGGAGGTGGTGGCAGTGTGAAGGGTTAATTGCATAATTAACCTGACCCAGTAACAATCGCCCAGGCTGCCGGTACGTCGATTTTGGTCCGTTAGCTGGAAAATCGGTGTGCAGGGTGCAGCTGGGTGTGGCATTGTTACGCACGTCACATCATAGTTTTAGATTGGCTAGTCATTCGGTCACGAGTTTGGTGAGAAGGTCTGGGGTCTGATTCCGCGATCGTGACATATTGTTGGCAGCGTACATGGGATAGTTGCATTAAGAGCTTCAGTGCAGTGTTAAAAAATTGGCTCTGCACTGAAGGATTGTAACCTTTGTGGAAACAGTCTTTAGAAACAAGTGGTGCATATTTTTTTATATATAGAGAGAGAGAAAGACATATAGCAACAGCTCCTCCCTTTTTCTACTTTCTATTCTATCTTTGGTTGCAATCATGCCTGGTGCAGCAGAATACAAGAAAATGAGCAAAAGTGATTTGAGTAAGGAATGTGCCTCATGGGGATTGGACGTCGGTCGCAAAAACCGTGAAGATTTGATTAGTGCTCTAATGGAGTATGATAGCCGAGCAGAGCAGAACTCGGGGGAACTTGAACATGAAGAGGTTCCCGTCCCCACATTCCCAGTGGCTCAGAGATGGCCTCGCAGGATGGGCATACAGAGACTGACACTGGAAGATCACCGAATGGTATTGTCACACCACCGCCTGAGTGGGCCAGCACCGGGAGTGCCGGTAACCAGCAAAGACTCTCCTCAGATGCAGGAAGCCCTGAAACGTGTCATGGAGATGGATCCTATGGCATACTTGCAGTTCCTTGACCGCCAGGCTGAGAGAGAGGAAGCTGATTGTCGGCATGAGCTGGAGATGGCGAGACTCCAGCAGCAGCAACAGAGCCAGAACCTCTGGTCCTTAGAGCACAGGGACGCCTCTCTGGTTGTGGGCCCAGCAGCCAGGTTTCCAGTGATGGAAAAAGATAGTGACATTGACACTTACTGTCATTTGAAAAAACGTGCCGTCAGTGCCATGTGCCCCCAACTCAATGGGCTTGGTACCTGACACCAGGGCTATGAGGCAAGGCCCTGGACGCGTTTGTTGAATTGCCAGAGTAGCAAGACGATGATTACAAAGTTTTAAAAGATGCCATCATCCGGAAGTACCAGATGACCCTGGAAGTGTACCGCAAGCGGTTCAGGTCCATGCAGAAGGGACCTGGGGACTCTTACACGGATGTGGCGAGTCGCTTACGCACCACATTCCGACAGTGGACTAAAGGACTGAAAGCTGACTCCTACGAGTCTTTGGAAGATCTCATGATACGAGATCAACTTTTGCACATTTGCCCGGCAGACGTCAGACAGTTTGTCTTGGAGAGAGAGCCAGCATCTACTAAAGCTGCAGCTGATTTGGCAGATACCTTTGTCCACACATGAGTGTCTGACCATTGCAAGGCTCCTCCGAACAGCAGAAAGGGGGGAAATCGCCCCTAGCAACTTCTCCTACGCTGGTGAGTCAAGCTTCCCCTCCGCCCACACCTGCAGCCCCTGGAGCCAAGCCATCCCTGCCTGACAACCGCAGATGTTTCACCTGTGGGAAAGCCAGACATCTCAGGACGCAGTGTCCTGAGCAGAAGCAGACGACATCATCTGGCCAGCCGGCCAGCAACTCTTCTTCCGTGCTGTTCGTCTGCAGGAAGATGCGGGTAACCGCCGCCAACTTGCAGCCAGTCACTGTGGGCATCCGGTCTGTAACAGGTTTCCGGGACACTGGGGCAGAAGTCACCTTGATCCGGCCAGAGGTGATTGAACAAAGGAACCTCATCCCAGGAAAGTTCCTTACCCTCACAGGAGTTGGGGGGACTCATTCACGCATACCCTGTGCGAAGGTATTCATTGATTGGGGTGCGGGAAGGGAGATGCGGGAGGTGGGGGTCTCAGAGGAAATTCCCACACCTGTTTTGTGTTGGGTGCTGATCTAGGCACTCTTTTTTCTTATTATGCCCCTGCCAAGAATACCCGGAAGGGCCCCCTGGAATCGCTGGACATGCCAAGGTACTGTGTGCAAATATTGGGATAATGTCTGGGCACCCTGTGGATGGACAGAGGGAGGGGGCTGGGAATGGAGTGGGGCTACAGGATTTAGCTGGAGAACAAGAAGAAACCCCTTGCCTGGGGAGGTATCGAACTCATGTGTCATTGATATTATAAATGTGACTGATGAGAATGATAATGATGACGATGAGGATGATATTAATAATGTCAGTATTGTTGATGATAATGTCAGTAACGTTGATGGTAATGTTGGTAATGCTAACGATGTTTCTGATGGTCATAATGAAACAAATGATGCATTTTCATTGTTGGGGGTCACCCACAGTGCTGTGGAGGGGGCAGAGGTACAAGCTCTGGGGGCTGAGCAAAAGGATGGTCTGGATAGGCCTGTTCATTGTTCAGGCCTAAGAAATCGTGCCTTGATAAGTGCCCAGCCGTTGGCCTTGCTTGGTACTGGGCAGCCAGCTGGGACTTGTAGTTCCACGCATCAAGCAGCACTGAAAAGCAATTCACAAAGGAACTTCAGCGGGCAGCTAGCTCTGAGTTGCCCCGCTGAGAAGGGTAAACAACAGCCGGCTGGGACTTGTAGTTCCATGGGTAAGGCAGCCCTGGAAAGCCATTCATATGGGGATTTCAGCCTGGGGCTAGGTGTGAACTCCCCTGCTGGGAAGGGTAAACACAGGCCTGACAGGAGTAATGGCCTATCCACAGGGGGCTGGAAGCCTGAAATCAGGTCATCTGAGCTGACCTGTCATGGTGTGTCAACAGGCAGACAAACGTGTGTCCTAGACAGTGACAGCACATCTGGAGGAGGAGTGTGAGGGGCCTTATTGGGGTTGATCCTTGGATCTCAGAGAGGGGGCTGTGGCCCTCAGCCTCAATCCCCTCCCCTTTCCCCTCAGGTCCTGAAGCTGCTGGAAATGCCTCTGATAGATGGTGTCTGGATTCAGAAGAACCCGGGGAGAGCTCACCGTGCGGTTCAGGAGTTAAACGGCTGAATGTCTGTCTCCTTCCTGCCTTCCGCCAACGTTCTCTCCCAGGAGGTACAGGCTGAATGGGCCAAAGAGACCGAGGAAATGGCACAGTCAGGAATCCAGGGGTCCGCTAGGGTCTGGGCATCCC